GTGCTCCACGGAGGAATCAATAAACGGTGGACAAGCGAGTTCAGACTCCGAGTCTTTTTGTCGTGGCTGAACACGCCTACGGCCCCGCCGGCCCCCCCAGTGGGCACTCCCCCCCCCCTTCCGAACTAAGTCCGGGGGCGAGCCGGGCCGGTCGCGCGCGGGGCCATCTGCGGGGTGGGCTGCCGGGGAGCGGGCGGGCGGGCCCCTGGCTCCAGGGGCGGGTCCTGTCTGCGCCGAGGCCCGGGAAGCAGCAGGCCGCAAACGCACAGCGGCGGACAGGCTTCTGCCCCCGCACTGTCCTGGCCGAGCGGGGGCGCAGCGGGCCGTCCCTGTGCCCGTGGCTTGGAGGGGCCCCGACCCGGGACGCCGAGCCTGCCCACAGTCCACGAGCAGTCAGACGAGCGGAGGGAGGAAGGTGGAAGGCTGGCCCCAGAGGGAAAGCAGTTAAGACAAACAGGCCCAAAGAAGTGGGAAGTCGGAGCACAGGATACAGAAGAAATTTATTCAAAGTCCGAGTACAGATGGCCAGCTGCCTTCTACAACGTGAACAGAAAGAAAGAGGTCTACAGAAAAGGTACAAAGTTTGTTATAAAATCGTTTAATTCGTTTCTCGCGCATTACAGCCGCCGGGCGGCCCTGGAATGTGCAGTGGTCGCGGTCCCTCCGCGGTTACAATACTGCGCCTGTAATTGCTTCTATCAAAATATACATCTGTGTCACCATAAAAAACCGCGCTGGCTACCCTCGGGTCTTACAGGTATAAAAAGTCACAAATATTTACACCCTTGTTACACTCCTTACATGCAAACACTGGGGTCCAGAGAACCCCCATTGCAGAGGCGGGGGTGGCTGCTGCCACCAGAATGCACACACAGGCAGAGCCTGCGCAGCAGGGCAGGGGCAGGTCCGAGGGGGCGGGCAGTTAAGACGAGGGCCTCCGCCCCACCCTCTGGGTCCCAGCACAGGAGGCAGACAGAAAACAGAAATAACTTTGGTCCACAATTTGCAGGAAAAAAAAAAAAGAAAAAAACCCTGAAAAACTGTAAGAGCGTTTGTACCTCTAGGTGTGAAATAAGGCCGCGGGGACCCAGGTGGGCACTGTCCCCGCCCAGTCTGCTCCTTGGGATCGGGATTCCTGCCTGTGACGTCTCTCAGTTACAAAGAAGGAAAGTACAGAATACAAGGTAATACCACAAGGAGGAAGCTTAGATACACTTATACCATCTTTATCTTGCTATAAAAAGTTACTTAAAACTATTTCTTTTGCATATAAATGGGGAGATTAGAATATTTGGTCAACTGGAGTATTGCTAGGCACAGCTGTCTGCAGTATCATACAAGAAGGGCGGATCGCCGGCCGCGCGGCCCCCGCGTCTCAGGCGCGGAGGGGCACCTTGCTAATGGGGTCTGTGGGAGGGGGAATCATGTCACTTGATTAATCGGGCAGGCGCGGGGGGGCGCGGGCACTGCAGACTCCAGGCGTCAGCACATGATTGCCGTGGAGCCTGTGGCCCTCCCCTCACACCCCAACACCAGCCGGGCAGCCCCCCCCCCCCACGCGGGGTTTTAAGGCACAAAGAAGCCGACTCGTGGTTGGAGCCCGCCCTGGCCCGGCCGCAAGGCCCCGGTGGCGGCAGGTCGAGCTCCAGAAGGCATTGCTGTGAGACCTGAGGGCGGGCGCCGCGGCCGTGGGACCCTCCGCTCGCGACAGGCACCGCAAGGTTAGAAGGTGGATTAGATTTAATTTTTTTAAAAACAGGTAAACTGATTTCTCTTTAAAAAAATAAAATCTCTGGTCGTAAGGTCACTTCAGCTGCGTTTTAAAGTGGCTTTTTCTCTGGAATGATGGAAGTCGTCACGGGGGCCGGGTGGGCGGCTCCGCAGCCCGGCGCGCCCTAGATGGTGGACTTGGAGAAGGAGACCCGCAGGTGGTGGTTCTCGCCCAGGTCGTGGTTGTGCAGCTCGATGAGGGCCTGGATGGCCTCCTCCACAGAGCCCATCTGGATCAGCGCCATCTTGCGGTCCTTCCTGCCAGACACAGGCGTCAGGGCCTGCGGGTGGGCGGGCAGGTGGGTTGTACGCGGGGGGCGGGGGGTACCCCTACTTACTGGAAGAACTTGAACCCTTTGACCATCCCTCCGTTACTCGAGAAGAGAATCTTGAGGTCATCTTCAGATATGGAAGGCCTGCAGAGACAGGGGTACCGTGAGCCCAAGCCCACCCCGGCCGCCTCCTCACCCTCAGTCTAGTCTACACAAGAGACCCTAGGGTCAGAAGGTCAAGACTACAGGAACAGGGTCTCAGACAGCCCACGATGGTGTCAAGTGAGCATAACGGAAGGTCACCCCCGTGTCCCATGAGCCAGCTTCGGGTCACAGACGGTGATCAGCAGCTGAGGTGGTTGCTGTGGAGGTGCCTGTCAGGGCTGGCTGCCCTCCGCAGCAAGGCCGGGCTCTCCTGAGTCCTCCCTTCAGAAAAGCTTCCCCGACAGCCACAGAGCTAGGACGCAGCTGCTTCACTTAATCCGAGGATTGAGGTGTACGTGGAGGGGATGCGGGGCAGGGCCGCGGGAGCCTTACGGGATGTTGGAGAGGTGCAGAGTGGCCGAGGGCGGGAAGATGTTCTGGAAGTTCTTGGAGCCGGGCTTCTTGAAGCGGTGCAGGGGCGAGTTGCTGTAGTCCTTGGTGAGGCCCTGGTCCTCCTGGCCCTCCCGCGGCAGCTGCACATTCTGGTGCTTGGACAGCGTGATGCGCACTGGCTTCCCGTGCAGCTTGTGCCCGTTGAGGTGGCTCATGGCTGTGGGCGGGACGGGGCGTCACGGGGGGCGCCCTAGGACACCCACCGCCCACTCCCAGGGACGGCCGGCCCCTTACCCAGCTGAGCCTGGCTCCCGTCGGCCATCTGCACCAGGGCATTCTCCTTCTTGTTGAACAGGACCTTCACGCGCTGGACGTCCCCATACACGCCTTCAAAAACCCAAGAAAGGCCTGAGCGCCGTGGCCTGCGGCCCGTCTCCCCGCAGCCCCCCGGCCCCACACGCCCGCAAGGCTCCGCTCTTTCTGCCCCTGGGGAACCTGCGTCTAGCGGCCACAGGGCACGTTACGGAAACAACCAAGGTCAGCCAAAAAGTAATAAATATAGAGAGGTACGCTGCCAAGGAGCGGCCACTTGAGCATGCTACCAACACAGGGAACTCTAGGACAAGCATGCGGGGTGATCCACCATGCGCACCCAGGAACCGCACGCACGCACGCACGCACGCACGCACGCACGCACGCACGCCATACGCAAACCGAGCAGACGGTGCGAGGCCCGAGGCCAGCTGCAGACTCATAGTACACTTAGGGTGTCAAATGACCGCAATTCAATGAAAACAAGGTAATAAAGTGTGAATGATAACATACCGAAAAGAATAAAGAGGCTTTGGGGTGTGACTCTCTAGAGGACAGCAGAGCAAGGCAGCGGAGGGACAGGGAGAGGGAGAGTCAGGGGGAGCGAGGTTGGCAGTCGTCCACCACGAGGAAGGCAGTCCCCGCAGGCGTGCGACATGGTTGATGGATGATGGAGTTGTCAAGGTGGTTAATATTCAAGGGCAGGTTGGTTTCCGGAGAGCAGGGTTTTGGAGGGGGAATTTTTTTTTGTTTGTTTGTTTATTTATGTTTTGTTTGTTTCAAGCAACAACAGGAAGCAGAAGTACCGTGCAGTCAGTTGGCAAAGAAATTCCGGATCAGGGCAAGAAAAAAAAATCGGGAAAGGGGAAGGGGAGAAAAGAAAAAAGTAGCAAAAAACACAGGTCAGTAAATACGTAAGAAAATAATGTAGCGTTCCAGTCAAGATCTATACACACGTTACAAGTCACAGGTTCACCTCGCGGAACAGAGGTAAGAAAAGCACCTGTTCTCGACCCAGAGAGCAGGAGACAGCACTGGGGGAGAGCCTCCAGAAGGCCAGTCCCACCACACCCCAGACGGAGCCCGCACTTCCCACGAAGGCCCCCCATCCGGACTTCCCCCCACCTGCTCTCAGCTCTGTCCACAGAAGTACTGTCTCCTGCTGACTGGGGCACAGTAAGTCTCTAGGACGATTACACAGCCGTGAGGTGAGGTCTGAGACTGTTAGTTCACGCTACACAAGTCTTCTCACCCCGAACTGAGCTCCCGGGGAACACGGCCTCAGCCTGCCCCGTGCCCTCCGTCCACCCGGGCCGTGGGCCCAAGTGCAGGGAGGTCCCCCACGAGAGGCTCAGTCCTGCCCTACCCCATGCCTCAGAAGAAGTGGTAGTTGGTGTCAGATAAGAGACAATCTAAAACGTTGACTAAATGATAATCCCATCCATTAAGAATTAAATATTTTAAGTATTTATCATCTCGTTCAAGCTCTGAGGCAACTGTGACAAAAATTCACAGCAAGGCTATACTGGGCACCTCTCTCGGTGCAGTCTGCGTGCCATCACGCAGTAGGGACCCTGATCCCAGCACCCCACCTGGCCACGCAGAGCAGAGATGCCCAGTGGCCTTTCAACTGCACCCAGGTTTTGCTCCCCCATCCTATTTTTAGATTGCCTTCCCGTAACAGAAAATATTTTATCTTTGAGCATTATGGAATTGGAAACGTACATCAAGATGTTAAGGAAACAGAAAACTAGCAATCTGGAAGCAGAGTGGACGTGCAGCGTGAGTGGAGGGTGGAGGCCGAGTGTCCCTGCACCAGGGACAGAGCTGAGGGGGGTGCTGCGCTTGCTGCCCCAGGAGGGCAGGGCGCTGAGGCCCCGAGACCCAGCACAGCGTCCCTGCACGTCTTCCCGGGAAGGAGGAGGAGCCTGGAAGGAAGCCCACGTACCTCTGGGTTGAGGTTGCTAACCAGGAGGACCGAGTTCCCTGCCCCAGCCAGGCCGGGGATGGCGATCCGGCCTGCCGCTGCCGCCGCCGCTGCCGCCGAGGGGATGGCCAGAGGGGCCAGGGCGCCATGGACGTTGGGAACGGAGAGACCTGGAAATGAAGGAGCAGTTGAGACAGTGATGTCCAGCTTTCTGCCCGAAGCAGAGCCCGGTTCTCATGCAAAGGTGGCGCAGGCAGCGCAGGGCGAGCTCAGGGCCTGCTGCTGCTCACACACCCCACAGCACAACAAGCTGCCGTTCCGTGAATGCGCCAACAAAACCCCGCGAGCCGAGCGGCCACCCAGGGGCCACTGCCTGCCTACCCACACACTGCGGCCGTCCTCCTCCATGCTCGGCACACGGGGGGGGGGGGGGGGACAGCTGTTGTCCGCACGCACAGAGACCTGTCACGTGGTGGGCCGCCCGCCGGGTCGCTTCCCAGGCCACCGCACTAACCTACTGGGACATACCTGCTCCGCCCACTGATGGCCTCTGCCCAAGGCTGTGATGCCCGCAGCCCTTGGCACAGGGCTGAGCCTCCGCTGCCTGGCCTGACTACCTGACCTACGCTGGCCCCGCTCCTGGGAGGCCCCGTTACCTGTGCGCTCACAACTATGCCGGCCAGCCCACATCGGCCGCCGAGAGAAAGCAGGTGTGGGAAGGTGGTGTGGGCATGCAGACCGGATGTGGGGTTATGACAAGAGCGAGTGTTTGAGTACCTGCAGCTTGAGGAATGGCAAAGGTGGGAGGGAAACCAGCTCCTGCATACGGAGAGGCTGAGATTATACCAGGTGCACCTAGAAATAAACGAGACACTAATCATTGCACCCAGGCCTCCGCCGCCGCGGACAGTCGTCATGCCTGCGGCCCCACCTAGCCAGGCTCGCCCCCCAGAGACCAGGCAGCGTGCTGGGAGGTCGTCTGTGGGCTGGGCAGCTGCCGGGCGTAGGCACATCCGGGCCGAGCGCTTCCCTGGGGGCCTCTCGGGGCGCTGAACCTGAGCTACGTGGCCATCTCCTCCCCGTGGGTGCCGCTCGCCTGCGGACAGGGTCCAGGTGTGCGTGCACTGCCGCCTGCCGGGGCGTCTTACCGAAGGCTGCGGCCATGGTCTGGTCCAGGGACGGCTGGCTGTCCCCTGAGGGCAGGTCTGGGCGCGTGTAGTCGCGGCTCTTGTCGTTGTTGTACTTCACGTTGAGGCTGGTGAGCTTGGAGAAGTCGATCCGCAACGTGCAGCAGGCGTTGTAGATGTTCTGCCCGTCCAGGGACTGCGGGCAACAGGGGCGAGTGGTGGGCGGGGGCTCGCTCCCTGCGGGCTGGGGGGAGTGAGCCGCGGGCGAGCGGCGGGCAGGACTCACTCACCAGCTTGGCGTGCTGGGCGCTCACGGGCTCTGCGTACTGCAGCAGCGCCTGGAACTGGTTATTCTTGGTGAAAGTGATGATTTTCAGAACCGTGCCAAACTTGGAGAAAATCTGGAGGCGAAGAAGGAAGCTGAGCCAGGACCCCACCGTGCAGAGCGCCCCACTCACCCGCAGTGGACACAGGCGCCAGGAGCGTGTGCACGGTCCCTAGAGCAGCCGGCCCCCACCTGGTGCAGCACGTCCAGCGTCACGGGGTAGAACAGGTTTTCCACGATGATCCGAAGCACAGGACTCTGGCCCGCCATGGCCATCCCAGCATCCACCGCAGCGGCAGAGGCGGCCAGGGCCAGGCTTCCCGACTGAACTGAGTTCACAGCCTGCAGGGCTGCCTGGGCGCGCTGCGGGAGAAAGCAGCAGAGGTGAGCCCTGCGGGCCCCACGGCACCGTCCCCCGCCCGGTCACAAGCCGAGCACTCACCGCCTGGTTGGGTGAGCTGTCGGTCTTGAGCTCCTTGTGGTTGGAGAACTGGATGTAGATGGGCTGGCCGCGCAGCACGGCCGCCACCGACGTGTAGTAGTTGACCATGGTGTTGGCGGCCTCCTCCGTGTTCATCTCGATGAAGGCCTGGGGACGGACAGGGTCACGGGGCGGCCCCTCGCCACCTCCCGGGCAGGGGACCCGCCTGGGGGCCGCGGTACCTGGTTTTTGCCCTTCAGCATCAGCAGGTTGGTGACCTTCCCGAAGGGCAGCCCCAGAGAGATGACCTCCCCCTCGGTGACATCACTGGGCAGCTTGCGGATATGGACCACACGCGACGGGGCACCGGCGCTCCTGCTGTCCCCTTTGAACTTCTTGCTGTCGTTCCCGTTGGCTGGAGAGAGGGGCATTTGCAGGGCCGACTTCCCACCTGCCCTGCTGCCCGGCCGGGAAGCCTCCAGCACCCTCCCCGAGGACTTGTCCAGGCCACAGTGTGGGGCTGCCAGGGCCCGGGGTTACCTGCAGAGGCCGAATTGCTGCTCATGATAAAGGGCCCGTTGGTGACACAGGTAGAGAAGAGCTCGTCAGATCCCCGCTGGAAGAGAAGGGCCACGCTCAGCCTGACCTCGAGGCAGCAGTGCCGCGTCCTCTCTCACATACCCCCACCCAGGGTTGTCCCCAGAGACACCGACACCCTGCACTGACAGAGCGGCCTCAAAGCCCCACAACAGGATCCTAGACACACCTCCAGGGTTCCCTGTGAGGAGAACCTGAAAGTCGGAACCCACACTTAGGGGTGCCCATCGCTCCCGTGTCTGTGCCTAGGCCGGGCCCCCATCAGCCTCTCCGCCCTGCCAGGACCCCCCCCCAACCTGCCCCACAAGAGAACACAACCACGTCTAAAGTCAGGACGCATCCTGTTACGTGGGCCACTGGCAGACAAAGCCCCCCTTATCGGCCTGCACGGGCGTCCTATTTTCCAGCCAGTCCAGGAAACCCGACCCACCCTGCATTATCACTCCAGAGAACAGGGGTGTGTGTGGTGTGGGCCACACAGTGACTGAGGACAGGACGCTCAGGCGGGCTCCCTTCGACTCCAGTCCAGGAACACTGTTCACTCCCCCGACTGGGTCACCTGAGCCACATCAGGAGGCTGGTCCTGGGCCGTAGAGAAGCCCCGCCCCCCACGAAGTGCTTGTCCAGACAACCTCACCCAAAGCTGTGAAGCCGGCGCCTGCTGACAAAGCCCCAGCTCTGCCTGCAGGAGCACATGGAGCCCACTTTCCTCGGGCTGGCCCCCACAGTCCCCCAACCCCCGAGCAGCCTGGGGCTCCTCAGGAGAGACAGCGAAGCCCTCAGAGGACCACCCCCAACAAGTCCTCAAGTCCTCCCTCTGGTGCCCACCCACCTGCTTGTCACCTGCGGGGTGAACACAAGGGACAGCTCTGGGCTTCCACCCCCACCCAGGTCCCCAGGGCACTCAGGACAGCACCTGCCCCTCCCCTCCCTCCCAAGCCTCCCCCCACTGCCTTTCCCTCAGACTATCCTGTCCCTTCTCAAGGACACCCTGTCTCCATCCTTCCTCCACGCTGCCAACTAGTAACCACTCAGAAGCTTCGCAGCCCCACACAGGAGTGGGTGGGCACCCGGATCCCCCGCCCCCAGGTGGCCCTAGGGACCTGTCCTGGTCAAGGATGAAAACCTCACCACTCCACCCCTCCTCTCCTGGAGGCCCGGGTGAGCAAGGCTGAGGGGGATTTAGAACCCTTGAGGACCTGAAGCGGGCCAGGAAGGAGCAGCCACTGCACCCGGCAGGCCCCTAAACCCAAACAAGGGGGCGCCAGGACAAAGGTGTGGGTGAGGGGAGGCCCAACAGCCACAGGGGCAGCCGGCTTCCATTACCTATGACACCCAAGGGGCCACTGAGCATCTCCTCTCGGGCTGGGGGACCAACATGCCAACTCCTGCCTGCGCCAGCCCAGCTCAGAGCCAAGTGGTGAACGCTCAGAACTGGGGGGTGGCTCAACCGCAACCCCACCCACAAATAAACCCCCAGCTGAGCTTCGAGAACGTCCAGAGCATGAAGCCCCTGAGCTGGATATAAAGGGAAACATTCACACCCATGTGTCCCAACACAGCACCCTGCTCCCAGTCTCCCCACACCAGGCACCCAGAGGGGAGGGCCATGGCTCCCCTCCAAGGAGACATTTCTCCTCAGCCTCAACCCCAGATCATTCAGTGGAAGCCAGGCACACAGCGAACCTCTGCTTAACCTCGGGTCACCAGCTAGTCCACTCCCTTCCTCCTAAGACCTGGGTACTGGCCTGCCCAGCCCCTGGCCATACCTACCGTTCAGAAAGGCCCAGAAGCCCCCAGGCTGCGGCCCCCTCCCACCAAGCTGGCCTGCGCCGGGGTGGGGGGCCAGGTGCAGCAGCAGGAAACCTTAAAAAGGGCATCTTGGCGTCCCCCTCTGACCGGAACGCCGGGCAGGGCCAGAATTTCCTCAGAGCAGCATTCCTGGCCACTTGCCCGAAACCCTAATCGCCATTCCCATGGCAAACAGCCTGGTAAGGCCACAGCCATCTGCAGCCAGCCAAACCCCGTGCCCACACGAGGCCGTCCTCCCCGCACTGTCCTGCTCAGAAGGGGGTGCTGCAAACTACTCCCCCTGAAAACACGGCCAGACGACAGGTGTGGACACAAGCTGCCTGCCCACGCCAGGGTCTGTCCCCGTGGTCCTGACTCGGCCCGGCCGAGGTCCTGCTGTCGGGAGTCCCCTCGCCCCCAGACCTGCCCCAGCGCTTGCCCTCTGGTCTCTCAAGTGGTGGATGAGCCCAGCTGCGCAGCTGCCGCCCCCCCAGGCCTGGGCCCACCTCCCCAGGTGGGATCCGGAACCCCTTAACAGCCCTGTCCTGTCCTAAGAGTGCTCCCTGGGAATGGGGCCAGAACCAACACAGCTGGAAGAAGGCAATCTGGATGCATCCCAGGATCCTCCAAGCCCTTCAGACAGTCTCACCTCCACCCCTAACAAACAGGTTTATCTGCAGGAAATCGGGACAGCGGCCGCCCGGGAAACACCGAAACCAGCCACTAGCCTCTGGCCACAACCCACCACCATCTGCTCCGCAGCCAGTGGCTCGGCTCTCTGGACAAGGCCCCAGTGGACGGGGAGCGGGCTGTACCACCCCCAAGATCGCAGTCAGGTCACAGCCACGGTCAGAGGCCAAACTGGGGGATGGCAGAGGCACCCCCGCATCTGTCCCCACAGACCCTCGAAGCACGGGCCCCCGCCCGGATCCTCCCCAGACGTGCACCACCCCATCCACCTCCACCTTGTCAGTATCTGCTAAAATTCTTTTAATTTAAACAGGAAGAGTACATAACAACCCTAAAACTCAGCCGTTTTCCTTTACTTCAAAACACCCCATAGCATTTTCAAAGCCAAACCTGGATAACCGACAACTCTGTCCCGCTGAAACCAACGTCCGCAGAACCTCACCGCCATTAAGCCATCACCTCGATCATTATCAAAAACAAGTGCCAAACGCCAAAGTGCTCCCCCCAACATCCGGCCCCTGAAATCCCACCTGCCCAGTCGTAGGCAGGCTTGGCAGGCGCTGCCAGGTGACTGAGGCACCCACCCCCAGTCCCAGCATTCCTGGGGTGGCCTGGAGTCGCGCCATTGGACGCTGACGAGTTGCAGATCTTGATTCTGTTAAGAGTTTCTGCCTGAGAGCCCGCAGCCCCACCAGGCTGTGACGGAGCAGGAGGATGGCATTAGGAGTGAGGCCCCGCGCCCGCCCGCGTGCTCAGAGCCCGATCGTGCACCGTGGAGAGGAAGTGAGCATGCCTACCTTTGTACCAACTGCTATATCTGGAACAATGCTGCAGGAAGAGAGAGAGAAGGAGACATGTTAGCCAGGTGAGCCGTCACCGCACTCCCCGGCCACACAGCACCCCAGTCCTAGGTTCCCCTCCAGTGAGGGCTGTGGTAGGGGAATGAGCCACCCCCCGTTCAATCCCCACTCTACAGGGGCCATCTTCGTCTCTCCCAACACCCCAGCAAGGAGAGCTGCTGCAGTTCAAGTTCAACTGCTGTTGTTCGCTTTCTACAAAACGGGAAATGCTTTGGAAACATTCTCAACATGGGAGAGTGTGTGAAAGAGACCGCCTCCAGAAACGGGCTGTCAACGTTTAACCAGGTCTGCGCGGAGGCCCCGACAAGGAAGGAGGGGAAAATTAACAAAAGCAAAGGCATGCCCGACCATGACCCAAGTTACTCATCAACTTTCTGCCCTGGGACTGGACTTTCTCCTCCCCTCAATAGAGGCGGGCGGGAAGAAAGCATGGCTGCCCTTCTGCCTCGCCCAGCCACCAGTTCCTGTTCCACAGCACAAACCTCCACAGCTCTCCCATGCAGGTGTCAGACCCGAGTCCTGGGGTAAGTGACAGTGACTCCAAGAAGGGGTATCTGGGTGACCTGGCTGCCCAGAGTCCCCCTCTGGGCTCGCCACAGGCTTCTTCTCACTCCCAAGCCATGGGGAGTCCTCCCAGCACCTTGAGTCCAGCCAAGCCTGTCTCCTACACTATTGTCCTTTCTCGTAGGCACCTGAGTACCTTTACTCATGTCCTCAAGGAGTTAAGTTCCCACCACCAAAATCCCACAGGAATCCAGACCAAAAAGCGCAGGCTTTTCCGGTCCCAAAGCTGGCCCGCTGAGCCCCGCCCACGGTAAGCGTTCTAACACACTCAGGCCCACTCAGGGCTCCTACCTCTGCACTGTGAGAACAAAGGCACACGGACTAGTTTCTAACAGGATTTTAAAAAAGCTCAGAAGAGAAACTTCCCAGATCAGCTGAGGACTGAGGAGCATCCCACCTCCCTGGAAGGGCCTCAGACACAGGAAGTGCTTGATAAAAATGGCCTTTCTTGAGAAAGAGTTTTAAACGACCCAAAAGGAAGGCTCTCCAGCCTCGGTTCCCAGGTGGGGGCTCCTCTACTTCAGCAAGGCACCCACACGTCCTGACACCCCCCGCTCAGGGCGACTCCTGAAGAACGAGGAAACACTGCCACCCTGGAAAGTCGAGAGCCTGCTCCATCGGAGCTCCCCGCAGAACCCAAGCACCCAGAGCTGGCTGAGCTTCCGCAGGGTGCACTAGGATAGGGAAGCCTCACAGAAATGAAAACCTAAGACGGACCACGGGATCACGTTCCTCATGCGGCAGTTTTTCTACAAGGCTGCTTTAATTCAGCCATTTTAACTCCCAGGCAGGGCATGCATCTGACCCCAGCATTTTAACCACACCTCAGGGTCAGGCCCCGGGCAGGAAGAACAGCAGCTCAAGGACCACGACTGTTCTGGCATCTTGTTACATTTTTAAGAACCAGCACTTCCCCCCGCCCCACGAAGAAACAAACCCTAGTCTACAACGTAAAATCCCTTTCAAAGGTAGTTTGATTCATAAACGGGTTCTATAACGTTTTCGCAGACCAAATTAAAGCTAGCACAACTTTCCACAGAACCTTAATGTCCCCCCAACACAAAATACTCGAGTCCTGACCCTAAACAGTTAAAACAGAGCTATCCTTTGCAAACCTATTAAAAACTACAACACTTTAAAGACAGAAAAACACATAGCGTCAATAATTACTCCAAAAATAAAACCCCGTTCGTTTTCTTTCCTGAAATGGAATGTGTACACACACACGAGCCCGGTCCCTTCACTCTAGCACTGTCCCTGGACTGTCCAGGCCTGGATGAAACCCTGGAGTCTCCCATTCTTCCCTCCCAGGAGGGGCCCAGCCGCCTGGCCCCCACTGCCCGGGGCGGCTCCGGTTTCGGAAGCGAGTCCTCGGCCCGGATAGCCCTGATCGGCATCAACCACTTGCGAAAGCCAAGACGGTGCAGGGCCGAAAATGTCTCCACCGACTGGGCTAAGTTAGGACACTTTGAGTTTCGCTTAAAACTAAAGAAGCGACGCGGGCGACGCGGGACACGGCACAGTGCCCCGGGCCGCCCCGAGACCCTGGGCTAAGAGGGGGCGCAGCCACTTCCGTGCTCGGCCTGTGACCTTGGGCCGCGCCGCCCCACCTCGCGGGAGGTGGGAACAAAGGGGAAGGTGAAGCGAAACCGCCCGGAGGAAGCGCTGGGGGGGCTCCCTGCGAGCCAGCGCGGCTTCCCAGCGAGCGCCGTGCTCCCCGCCCGCAGGCTCGGGAGGAAGGAGCGGGGTCTGACGAACACGCGCTCTGGAGGCAGCTCGGGCTCTCGTCGGGGGTCGGGGTCCCGAGGGAGAAGACCCGACCCCGAAAAAAACCTCTGGGACGGGGAAGGGCGCCTCACGCGGGCTCGACGGAAACCGGGCAGGGCCAAGCGCGGGTGGGGCGGGAGGGCGGCGTCTCCGAGCCGCGCCCGGGCCCGAGGCGGGCGGGGGAGGCGAGGAGAGTCCGCGCGGCGGGAAAGGCGCGCGAGGGGGCCGGACGGGGCGCGGGAACGGCCAAGCGGGCGCGCGAAAAGCCGCGCACGCGCACCAGGATCCGCCGGGAGCGCGAAGGGGCGCGCACGCGTGCGGGAGACAGGACGGGAAGCGGGAAGGCCCACACAAGCTGCGCGACGCCGCGCACGAGCCTGGGACTCGCCGGGAGCGCGTAGGGGCGCGCGCAGACCGGAAGGACAGCGGGAAGGGTCGTGCGCCCCCGAGAGTGCTTAGACGCAGGGGAAGGGGAGGGGCAACCGACCACCGCGTGCGCTCCGGCTGGGGCGCGTGGAGGCCGGTAATGGCCGGACGCCGCGGGGGATGGGGCGAGTACGGCGGGAAGGGCGGGGGCTGCGGCCGGGCGGCGGCCCTCCGCCGCCACCACGCCAGGAAGGCAGGCTGCCACGCGCCCTCCCTCTGCCGCCCCGCAACCCAGTTCCCGCGCGCCCGGGCGTAGGGGGAGGGGAGCCTGAGACCCTGGCCCCCATTGGCCCGGGTGAGGCGGGCGCGGCGCGAGGATCGTCGGCCCGAGGCGGGCCCGGCGGCGGCCGCGGGGAGAACGGGGCGTGAGGAGGGCGATGGGCAGCACGAGAAGCACGACTCACCCGTCCATTGCACACACAGGAGACCCGCAGGGGACGGAGTGGAGGCGTCGGAATAGCAGGAACCGACCCAACGGCTCCGAGATATAGACTCACAAAATGGCGGAGACGCCCGAACACGTCCCCCGCGCGGGCTGCCCATTGGTTCCTGCTGCAGCCAGGGGGCGGGGCGAGTCCGGCCGCCCCCTGCCCGCGCCTCCGAATGGCCAGAAGGTCGCTGGGGGGGGTGGTGCCAAGAGGAACAGCAGGCGCCTATTGGCGGAAATAGCCGTCCGTCAGCGCTAAGGAGGAAACGGCCTCTGGTGTCGGGGGAAGAAGTGGGGTTGGGGGGTGGGGGAGAAGGTGGAACCACGTGACGGTGCCAGGTCCAGTGACCTGCCCTGTCGCGTGTGGCTCTGCGGGGGAAGCCATCTTGAGAGTGGGTACGTGGCGAGTCAGGCGGCGGGAAGCGTGCTTCCCTGAGGCTGCCGCCATCTTGCATGCGGGCAGGAGCCGCCCACCTCGAGCGTGAGGGCTAAGGGAGGTGCGTCGCCATCTTGGAGTCGGGCAGGAAACCTACGGACTCCATCTTGCTTATGGGCATATGGCCAAAAAGTCTGATTCAAACTGAGTCAAACTCCTAGGTTAGCGCGTCGGGAGGTGGAGTCCTCTTAGCGCGAACCCTACAGGCCCGGGCTCTGCCTCCATAGCTGGCCGCGGGGCCTGCGGGCGCGAAGCATCCGGGATCACCCCCGGCCCCCGACCGGTCTTTGTTCATCCTACAGCAGCGATGCCTATACGCAGTCCCGCCCCTGGCTGCAAAGATGGAGAAACTGAGGCCCAAGACCCCGCACACAGGACAGGCGCCCGCCGTATAGACGGAGAAACGGAGGCCCGGGGCGCACAGTCAACAAGAGACGCAGAATCTTGCCCTTCTGAGCCTCCATCCCAGCAGCAGGAAAACACCCTAAACTGTCTGGGGGCCACCAGGGCCTGCTGCTCATCTTCGTTCTCTTGGTGACTCTTCCTAGGGGTGGGCTAGCTGCCCTAGAGAGCCGCTGATGCTAAGAAGAGTTAAACAGGGTTGTGGGCGACAGGGGCGGCAAGCCAAGTCCGGCCGTGTGAGGAGCATGCCCAGGGAGGGCAGAAGGGGGCTCAGGTTGGCTAAAGCCAGGTCAGACCACCCAGCACTTCCTAAACCAGGAACCTCTCACAGGGCTGGGAAGCCTCCAGGAGACGATGCGCCTCAGGGGCTTGGCGCAGCTCCCGGCACAGTAGACGCTCAATAAATAGAGGAAATTATTACGATTATTGCTTGCTGTGTGTCCATGCTGAAAGGCCAAAGGGGTTTTTAATTGGCACGAACCTAGAGAGGGAGAAGAAATGACATTTCTCGATTCGCCAAATCGGCTGATGCGCCCCGCCTCTCCAGAGACCCGGCAGCGGCCTCGGCTTGGGCGGCCCAGGAGCCTGGGAGCCCTAACGCGCGCCGGGTGCCAGAGGAGTCTAGCCGGGATTAGGAGCGGCTGCCGATTTCCACGGGACGCCTCCCGCGGAGCCCTCCTTTGGCCTGAACAAGCCGGCGGGGCCACGGTGTCTTCAGGCCTAAGGCCATAGGAAGCCCATACAGGCTAATCAGGAATGCAGCGGTGGATTTAGAAGAAGCCAACCCACACTCCCTGGATATACCCCTCCAGGTGGCACACCCGCACTCCTCTCTGGGGGCCACCAGGGCCAGCTGCTGGTCTTGGTTTTCTCCATGACTCTTCCCAGGGGTGGGCCAGCAGCCCTGGAGAGCTGCCGGGCAGGAGTGAGGGAGGCAGAGGAAGAGGAGGCGGCAGCTAACATTTGGAAATGCCCCAAGCTCCAAGCACAGGTCTAAGCAGACAGAATCATTTAAAATCCAGGGCCCATCACAGCGTTCCTGGGCTCCGGTCTGGTTCATAGTAAAAGCCCAAGTTCGCCCCACAGCTCAGCAGGTCCCATCTGCCTCAGGACCTCTTACGGATTCAATTGTGTCCCCCCAAAATGTGTTGTAAATCCTAACCCCTGTACTTGTGGTTAGAATCTCATTTGGGAGTGAGTTTTCTTTGTTACGTTAATGAGACAGTATTAGCGTAGGGTGTGTTTTAAGTCCATCTCTTTCGAGATGTGAAAGAGATTAAACAAGCCAGCCAGCCAGCAGGGATGGGAGAAGAGAGATGCCGGGCTACAGGAAGATCACCAAGGAGCCAAGCAATAGCTGAAGAGACAAGGACCACGCGGGGTCACAGAAGGGGTTGCGGTCTGCCGATTCAGCCACACTCACCCTTCTGGCTCAGACAAGTCCCTGAATCTTTCTGGACACTGGGTGCCAGCGGTGAGTGAGACCAGCCCACCTCTGCCTGGGTCAGAATCCACACTAATTGCCACCGTTACTACTGCCAGAAGGAAAATCAGAGAAGAACTGACGCCTTTGAATTGTGGTGTTGGTCAAGAATGTTGACTGTACCATGGACTGCCAGAAGAATGAGCGAATCTGTCTTGGAAGAAGTGCAGCCAGCACGCCCCTTAGAAGCAAGGATGGTGAGACTTTGTCTCACGTACTTTGGACATGTTGTCAGGAGGGATCAGTCCCTGGAGGACATCATGCTTGGTAAAGTAGAGGGTCAGCGAAAAAGAGGAAGACCCTCGACGAGATGGAGTGACACAGTGGCTGCAACAGTGGGCTCGAGCATAACGATTGGGAGCACGACGCAGGAGCGGGCCGTGGTTCGTTCTATAGTGCACAGGGTCCCTGTGAGTCGGAACCAACTCGACGGCACCCAACACCAGCTACTGCCGGAAGCAAAGATGTGGACGGCCCTGCCTGGGTCAGGGAGACTTGACTGAGGGGACCGAGGAAGAGGGTTACTGAGGCCAAGGGAAGGCCTCCAGGAGCACGGGGAGGGGTGTGGGCACTGGTGAGGCCGACATGTCCAGCGACCAGCAGGGTGTCTGGCCCAAAACAGAGGTCAGACAGACTGTTTACCAGAGTCCCCTGTGGAGGCAGTAACACAGCATCATGAGCTGAGAGGCTTAAAACAATGGAAATTTATTCTCTCACAGCTCTGGAGGCAAGAGGTCCGAAATCAAGGTGTGGGCAGGGCTTGGATTCCTCTGAAGGCTCTAGGGGAGGACCCTTCCTTGTCTCATACAGCTTCTGGTGGCCCTAGGTGTTCCTTGGCTTGTGGCTGCATCACTCCCCTCTCTGCCTCTGTCTTCATGTGGTCTACCTCTTCTGTCTCTCATGAGGACCCTTTGTGATTATAATATGCTTGCCTGGATATTCCAGGAAGCTCCCCCATCTCAAGACCCTTAACTTAATCCCATCTGCAAAGACTCATTTTTCCAAGAAGGTCACGCTCACAGGTTCTGGGACTTAGCACGTGGGCATATCTTTTGGGGAGGCTGCCTGCAGACCCTCCATTATTGCGCCCTGGCCTTGTCCAGGGAGCCCCCCGAGGTCACGGGCTGGCCTTACAGTTACCAAGGATTAGGGCCCCGACCTTTGTTACAAGTCAGACGTCACTGTGTAGAACACGCAAGCAGAGAAGATGCCCGGACGGTACATTGTGTGCGGGACTTATTCCGCGAGCGGGGCTCAGCCTCTCTCCGTCTTTCTGTCTCCCCCGCCTCCTTCCACTCACCATTCCGGCCTCGCCAGCCAGCTGCTTCCTTCATGAATGATTCAGGCCGAGTGTGGACACGTGCTGGCCGAGCATTTGTTTGAGAATCGTCTGTTCGTCACCATGTTGAAAATGATACCTTGAGCTCTTCCCAGGAGTGAGTGAAGCTGGAGGGAACCAGGTCCAGCGGAGTCAGCTGGCGTCCCAGGCCCTCAAAGCTCCTGAAACAGGCAACAGGGCCTCAGGCCTCTTCTCAGATATGGTGGGTGGGGGAAGGGCAGTGCCTCAATTTACCTCTTTTTCAAAACAAAGGGGCTGAGCTAGGCCAGGTCCCACCCGGCCCTGTGAGTTTCCCCAAAAAGACTTAATAGTTTCAGATTTATTTATTTTTTGACCTGAATATAAAAGTAATAGGACGGGGGTTCAAGGCACAGCCAGGGCCAAAAACCAAGCTGTGTGGCCTTGGAAGGGTCACTCAACCTCTCTGGGCCTCCTGTGCTTCTACAGAGCATTCAAAATTGATCTAAGCCAGCAAGCAATCCCGGTCCTAGGTATACACCCAAAAAACTTGAAAACAGAGACGCAAACAGACACTTGTTACCAACGTTCACTGCAGCACTATTCACAGTAGCCGAAAGGTGGGAACAAACCACGCATCCATCAATAGATAATGGATAAACAAAAGTGGTCCATCCATAAAATGGAATATTTTTCGGCCATAAAAAGGAATGAAGCTCTGATACACGCTATGTCTTAGTCATCTAGTGCTGCTATAACAGAAATACCACAAGTGGATGGCTTTAACAAAGAAATATTTATTTTCTCAGAGTCTAGTAGGCTAGAAGTCCAAATTCAGGGCATCAGCTCCAGGGGAAGGCTTTCTCTCTCTGTCAGCTCTGAAGGCAGTCCTTCTCATCAATCTTCCCCTGGTCTAGGAGCTTCTCTGCACGGGAACCTTGGGTCCAAAGGACGCGCTCTGCTCTCTTGATGATGTGAGGTCCCCTACTCTCTGCTTTCTTCCCTTTCCTTTTGTCTCTTGTAAGATAAAAGGTGGTGCAGGCCACACCCCAGGGAAACTCCCTTTACATTGCATCAGGGATATGACCTCAGTAAGGGTGTTACAATCTCACCCTAATTCTCTTTAACATAAAATTACAATCACAAAATGGAGGACAACCACACAATACTGGGAATCATGGCCTAACCAAGTTGACGCATATTTTGGGAGGACACAATTCAATCCATGACACTGCCGCATGCATAAACCTTTGTGGTGAAATGGTTCCTTTATGTGGCCTTTTGCCTTGATTCTTTGGAAAAACAGCTTGAGAGATTTTTCCTGTAATCCCTGAGGAGTTACCTTTGTCCTAGTTTCCTACCCCAGAGGATGTGTAACTGTTGTTCAGGTTGATTGACATTTCCTGGGAAAGCTAGAAACAATTTGGTTTGATATTTTCTGTCTGGCCCTGGGCTGCAGCCTGCCCTGTGA